GCGGGCACGGCGAGGCACCGAAGGGCCAGATTGGTCGGCGGCCCAGCGCTCCTCGATCAGCGTGTCGAGCTGCTGGATGAGGGTGGGCTCCTTGCCGTCGTCGCCGTCGAGGCGCGCAATCTGTCGGGAGAGCAGCTTGTACTCGCGCATCAGGGCACGGGCGTCGTTGGCCTTGGCCACGTTGGCCTCGACGAGGGCGCGGTTGACGGCCTTGAAGACCCGCCTCATGGCGGGCAGCGCCGCTTCGACCTCGCGTCGCACCGAGCGCAGGGAGGGCAGGACGCCGTGCGCCTCGCCAGGCTCTTGACGGGAGCCAACGCCACGTTCGTAGTTGCCCCGGCGCTGCACGTCGTGCGCCTTGGCGGCCTCCACGGCGGCGGAGATTCGCACCCAGACCAGGCCCGACACGTCCAGGTCGCTGACGTGGGCCAGGCGGATGTTGGGGGCGGGGCGGCAGCTGATGTACTCGTTCTCCTCCCAGCGGCGACGCTGGTCCCGGTAGACGAGCGCCCGCTCCTCCGCGTAGGGGCCGGTGTACGTCGGCACTGCGGGAAGGGTGAACGGGACGCAAAGGAGAGTCAGTCGATGCGCGGGGCGCTCCCCACGCGACGGAGACGGCCGACTTACCGCGAAGGTCCACGTCGCAAGGGCGACCCTTCTCCCTGCAGTGGTCGCAGGGCTTGCCTGCCTCTTGCTGGTAGCAGCTGCGGCCGCCGTCGCGACCGTTGGCACAGTTGCTGCAGCGGCCAGACAGCGGGTTGGCCAGCTCCTCGTTGATCTCGGCTGCGGCAACGCGAGGCGGGGCAACAAGTCAGCAGGAGCAAGCCAACCACACCATGCCCGGACCGGCACCACGCCCAACAAAGGCTACTCACTCGCGCCACAGGGATACGACTCGCCGCTGGGCTCGTAGCCCGCGATGCCGGTGTACACACGAGGGTACATGTCGGGGTCGGGGTCCGGGCGGCGGGCGGGCTCGAAGCCGAAGTTGCCGACGTGCTCGCCAGGGTACTCGCAGACGAAGTACCCATCGATCATCAGCGGCAGACGAGGGTCGTCCTCATCGATGGTGTCGAAGTCGATGGGGCGCAGGGGAGGGAGGCGATTGGCACCGCCAGTGACAGGATCACGCGCGGCGCCGGCGCGAGGGGACGAGGTATCGCCGGAAGAGGAGGAGGTGCCGTCGCCGTGCATGACGACATCGGCGTTGTCGTTGCCGACGGCAGAGCCGTGGTCGGCGGGCATGGCGGGTGGCGGCGCGACGGCAAAGGCGCGGATACGGGCGGGGTGGCGAAGGAGCAAGTGGTGGCAAGAAGACAAGCCCGCCACGCCGCCCGCCCCCCGCCAAGGCCCGGCCAAACGCTGCCAGCGGCCCGCCAGCAGGCGCAGGCGCAGGTCAAGCCCATCCCAACCAGGGCCCACCTCCACCCGCGACGCGCCTGGAAAAACTGCGGCAAGGTCGAGTCTCGGCCCCAAGACCCGAGACCCGGTAAGGCCTGCCCGGAGTCAGCCCTTAGACCGGGGGTAATGTCGGGACTCGGCCGGCGAGGGCCCACGGCTCTTGGACGTTAATCCGGAGCCAAGACGAGGGTCATTGCCGCAGCCCAGTCGGAGCCCCAAAGTGCGTGGGGCCGGCCCCACGCACTTTGGGCATACGGCCGTGGCGGCGGGGTACGCCACTAGGATTCCTTCGTTGATTGTACTTAGTATCCTAGTGATCCTACGGTGCAACATCGATTCCTAGCTACTCTCCCACAACCTCTCTTGGTCCCCACTCTCTGCCCTCGGCCGACAGCGGTTCGCAAGACCCCAAGGGCATAACAGCTGGAAGGACGCTTCTGGGCATTTTTCCCTGGCAGCACCAGATCATAGCAGCAGCACAGTGGCACTACTCTGCTGTGAGAGGTGATGAGCCCTGATTGCTGCCAGGGGAGGTTGGCCTTGCCACAGCACAGCACAAGGGCCTCTAGCACAAGGGCCTCTTCTACGTACGGCTGCAACCTGGGACGGCTTCTGGGGTGCCGATCTGGCCGGGTGAAGGGCTCGCCTGCCTGCCTGGCATCGGATGCGCTGTCGGGCCGGCGCCTTTTTCCTCGAGGCGTCGGGCGCCAGCAACAGCAGCCAAGAAGAAAACGCTCCGACCGCCCGCCACGCGCGTCCGCTCGGAGCCTTTCAAGGTCGGGCTCGCCGTGGCCCGTCGCCCGTCGCCCGTCGGCCTTGTCTGCCTCTGCCTCTGCGTCTGCCTTGGGCCTTTGCTCCCGGTGGCTGTCTGCCGGGCGTGGCGAGGCCGTTGCAAGGCATTGCAGATGGTCCAGGACGACCCACCGCCTATAACGGACGGCCAGATGGAAGGCCGGCCAGCCGGGCGCTTCCGATCCCTCTCCCCCACCACTCACCACACCATTCCCGGCACGACCCCTTGTCCGCTGCACTCGAGTGCTGCACGCTTCTCGACGCTTGACGCAGTCCCTTTGTTACGATTCGATTCGAGACGACGCCTTCGCCAAGATGGACCGCCTTTTACGCCGACACGGCGGCGGCCACGACGACGACAGCAGCAGCAGCAGCAGCACGGCCGGCATCGGGCTGCTCACCAACACCAAGACGGGCGACCCGTGGGCGGGCCAGGCCAAGTACGCCAAGGGCGTCGTGGCCATCGGATGCATCGTCGTCGCCTTGGCCGCGATACTCGCCATCCCGTCGCGGCTACGACACCGTCGCCTCGACAGAGCCAGGACCGGCGGCGCGCCACGGCGCAGTCATGGAGCGGCAGGGACAGCCGTAGGGCGCCGTCACCCTGTCGAGCCGCCTCGACGGGCGGCGTCGTTCTGCCGCTTCCTCGCCTACCGTCAGCTGCCGTCGTACCGCCTGGGCTTCGTCGACCTCCGCTTTCCGGCACTCGGCGTCACGCTCCTCCTGTGCGCGCTCATGCTCGGCGTGACGGCATGGATGTTTGCGGTCCAGCCCTACTACCGCTCCGCCTACACGTTTGGCAGCCCGCCGCTGGCGCTGCGCGCCGGCATGATGGCGCTCGGCCTGATGCCCTTCATCTATGCCCTCGGATCCAAGGTCAACCTCATCTCGGCCCTCACGGGCACCAGCCACGAGCGGCTGCAGGTCTACCACCAGTGGATCGCTAGGTTTATGCTGTTCCTCGCCACCGTCCACACCATCCCCTTCATCCGGCAGCCGCTGCAAGAGGGGGGCACCGCGGCGCTGAGGGAGTGGTTCTTCAGCGACCACATCAACACGACTGGCACCGTCGCCTACGCCTGCCTTTTTGTCCTCGTCTTTGGCAGCTTTGCCGGCCTGCGCGAGCGATGCTACGAGCTGTTTGTCGCCGTCCACATCCCCGTCGCCGTCACGTTCCTGGCCTTCATGTTTATCCACACGTCGCAGCTCTTGACCAGCTGGTAAGTTCGTCGGGGCGGCGGCGGCGGCGGCGGCTCGACCTGCGCGGTAACCACGGCGGCTGACGATGCTTTGCTTTGCTTTGCTTTGCTTGTGCCCGCTCGCGGACCGACACAGGCGCTACCTGTGGGGCACCGCGGCGCTCTACATGCTCTCGGTCTTCCTCCGCCTCGCACGGCAGCTGAGCAGCCACAGCCTGTTCGGCCTCTGCCGCTGCCGAGTCGAGGCCCTCGACGGCCGACTCACGCGGCTCACGATCCGCACTCCGCTCACCTGGCGGCCGGGCCAGCACGTCTTTGTCCGCTTCCCCGCCATCGAGCCGTGGTCCGCCCACCCGTTCACCATCGTCTCGATGCCCCGTCCCGACCACAGCGGCGACTCTGCCATTGTGCTCATGGCCAAGGCGCATGGCGGGTTCACGCGCAAGCTTCATTCGCGCGCCCTGGCGGGCCAGGCGGGCGAGGCCGAGACGTCGACAGAGACGACGACGGCGATGCGCCACGGCGAGCACATCGACGACCACGACGCCGACGAGCAGCTGCTCCGTCCCTCGTCGAGCACGTCGCTCTCGGCCATCGTCGACGGGCCGTACGGCCAAGACGCGGGCGTGTCCGACTTTGACGCTGCGCTCTTCATCGCCGGCGGGTCGGGCATCACGCTCGCCATGGCCTCGCTCCTCGACCTGGCGTGGCAGTGGCGGAACGGCACTGCGCAGACGCGGCGCGCCAGGCTGGTCTGGTCGGTGCGGAACGACGAGAGCGTCGAGTGGATGCGGGAGCACATCGAGACCGTCGAGGCGCTGGCGCCGCGAGGGTCCTTTGGCGTCGTTGTCCACATCAGCCAGTCTGCCGGGGGTGCAGCGTCGACCCTCCCGGCCTCGTGGCAAGTCCATCGAGACGGCCATCCGGACGTCTCGCTCGCCATTGACGCGTTCCTGCTCGAGGAAGTGCCGTCGTCGTCGTCTTCGTCGTCGATGCCGTCGGCCGACGTGGAAAAGGGCGAGACGCCGTTGTCGGAGACCAGCTCAGCCTCGACGTCGCCCGACGCAAAGCGGTCGTCGTCCCCCGCATCGTCCGTTTCGGCACCGACACCGTCGTCATCGGTGGCCGTGGTCGTGTGCGGGCCCGAGGGCATGTCGAGGGATGCGGGCAACAGGGTGGCCAAGCTGCAGCTCGACATGGCCCGAGGAAGGCTGAAGCACCTCGAGCAAGTCTACCTCGTCAACGAACGCTTCGGATGGTGAGGGCGGTCGCCGCCCGGAGTCGTGGCATGGCTGCGGGGGATCGATGGCGGCACAGACGACGACAACGACGCCGACGACGACGACACGAACGACCATGAATCATTGCCAACGACCCGCCGAGCTCGAGAGTTACGACAATGGATGTGGCGGTTCCCCGCCGTCGTCGCCTCACTGTGCAGATGGTGTCCGTTTTTGCCTGAGCGCCTCCACGAAGGCGACGATCGAATCGAACTGCTCTTCAGTCTGCACCATGCCCGGTCGAAAGTGGCGCATCCAGGCCACGAGGCGGAGCGGGAGGTCGTCGATGCCCTCATCGGTGACGGGATTCGAAGTCGTCGCGGTGGCGGCAGGAGCGGAGGACGAGGACGAGGGGGAGGGAGAGAGGAGGTGCTTGGCGGTGAGACAAGCGATGACGGTGCCGCTGCGGCCGATGCCGGCCGAGCAGTGGACCCAGATCGGCCTTCCGTCTGGGTAAGCAGCAGAGGGGGACGAGGTGGAGCCGACGTGGTCGTGGATGAGGTCAATGAGCCACTCCATGTCTGCGGGCGGTAGGATGCCGTGGTCGGGCCAGTGCGAGAGGTGAATCTGGCGGATGACCTTTGGCGTCGGCATCGCAGCGTCGCCATTGGCGGTGGAGGGGGTGGGTACGAGGTCGAGGGTGCGCACGACGACGTTGCCGCCGTTGAGGGCGTGCTGGTCCCTGCAGCGCACCTGCCATCCCTCGACCTGGAGCACGGCATCTGCGTGCTCCTGGTCGTCGGCGCGGGTGGGATAGTACCTGTCGGCCTTTTTTCTTCCCCTCTCGATCTCGGGCGTGAGGTTGACGAGGACGGCGACGTCCTGCTCGTAGAGGTGGTGGTAGAAGTGGGCGAACGTCGAGGGCGTGGGTGCCTGCGACGCGATGAACCGCGGCTGCGTGCCCTTCACCGTCGACGACGCCAAAGTTGAAGACGATGCAGGAGGGGTGTGAGGGAAAGGAGCGAGGAGCGAGGCGTTGAGGTAGGGTCCTGGGAGGAGCGACGAGTCGTAGGGTACCACGTCGCGGTACCGGTTGGCCGAGATGTTGGAAGGCGAAAGCGCCGACGAGATGGTGTAGGGCGGCAGGTTGGAGAGGAGGCGGCTCCGGTCTGTCTGTGCCAGCTGGCGGAGCGGGTGCGATGTGGTGGGCATGATGATGCGGGGGATGTCGAGGTCCGAGGGGATGGGAGCCTGCTTGCCAGGCAAAAGAGCGACGATGGTCGAGGTGAGAGGGGAAGCGATGGTTGGGGCCCCCTCGGGCGGCTGCTTGCCGTCCTGCGTGCCTTGCCTCTGCCTCCACATGCCCCTCGCTCTCTCTGCCTTGCTTCAGGCCGGCCACACAGAGAGACGCCTCGGCCGACCAACCACGCCTCGTCGGCCTCACGGATGGCCCGCCCCATACCATCATCTCCTGGCCTCGCCGACACCCTCTCTCCTCGTCCAGACGATATCCAATCTCTCTAATGGCTCTGCAGAAAATCACCTCGACGACAACAACAACGACGCCGACGCCGACGCCGCCGCCGACGCCGCCGCTGCGGGCCAAGGCCCTACATGGTCTGGCTCCTCACCGGCACGGCGCCAGGAGCGGGCGCGGGCGCCGACAGCGACTTGGACTTGTCGCCAAACTCCCTCACGATAATCTGGCACTTGACCGTATCGCACAGCCGCTTGGCCGCCGACTTGATGGCCGGCGGGAAGAGCGTCAGCCCCGCTGCGCGCTCCACTGTCTCGACTGTTGCGTTCGTAGCGCGGCATAAACAGGTAAGGTGGCCGAAGACGATGGGTGAGTGGACTGCTCTCGCTCGCACCTCTTTCGGCTCTCGGGATGGCGCCGACGCCGAGGACATTTCGACGACTCACCGGGAACAGCAAAGCTCTCGAGGGGCGCCTCGTTGGGGATGACCGAGTTGGGCATCACAAACGCACCCAGCGCCAGCATATGCGAGTCGTGCGTGGCGAAGCCCACCTTGGACGTCAGCCCGCCCGACGATGGCGCAGGCGGCGGCGCCAGCTTGCGGTCGTTTGACGACGCCGCGCCAACGCCCAGGATCACCTTGGCAAAGTGCGTGGGCACCGATACGTTGGGCGGGTTGCCAATCACCCTGCGCGGGGCGCGGAGTGCGGGGCGAGGCAGGAGGCGGTCAGAGATGCGAGACGTGTCAATCGCTCCCAGGGCCGCCGGGATCGACTTGAGCTCGAGGCCACAAGGGGCGCGCCGAGGGCCGTGTGCCACGACCAAGGGGGACTCACTCGTACGTCACGCGCCACTTGCCATCGCTGCTCTGCCGCGGGAGGTAGAGCGGGATGGTAAAGACGTACAGGTCGGCGAACCTGGCCGTCAAGCGGCGAACAAAGTCCTCCTGCGTAGAGGCAACGGTCATGAGGGTGGGGCATCGGCGTCGGGGATCGCGTCAGCTCAGCAGCTAGCCTTTCGCGAGCAGGGTCGAGCACCAAGCCGCCGGCGGGCAGAGGCCGGCTCGACTCACGGTGTGGGCCCAGTAGTCTCGGTTCATGCCCGCTCCGACCTGCGGCGCGATATTGGTCAGGAAGAAGGTCCTGCGAGCGGTCGAGGCAAACGAACAGACGTCCGTTGGTCAGTGGCGCAGCAGCTGGCACCGCAAAGACTGTTGCCCTCGCCCCGGCTCCCACTCACTCATTCATGGCCACCTGCGAGCTCTTGGCGTCGGCAGCGGGCACCATGTGGCCTCGGTCTGTGCAGTTTTTCCGAGGCGCGCGAGGACAGATGGTCAGCTTACCAGCTCCTGGCGACGTATCGAGGGGCGGGGGACGGGGGACGGGACTGACCGTAGCCGCTGCGGAGGTAGTCGACCATCCTTGCGCGGAACATTTCGGGGATCCTCTCGTCCTCTCTGAACACGCTGAGCGCCCTGTCGACATTCTGGCCCGATCCGCCGGGAGGGCTGGGTGGACGCTTGATGGAAGCGGCGGTGAGGTGTTCGGCGGTCCAGGCCGGGTGGCGCAGACGACGGTCGTATCCCGAGACGTAGGCGGCGTGCTGGAGGAAGTCCGAGACGGGGCCCGGGTAGCTCGCCGGTCCCAGCTGCGAGTTCGACACAGCCAGAGAAGACGCCGACGAGGGGCCGGCGTCGACGACGGTGGCTGGCTTCGAGATCGAGGGCGGACCGGGAGATGGAGCCTGCTGCGCGGCGGGCTGCGCGGCGACGGGGACAGGGGCCGGCGAGCGCTGCAGGAGGAGCGCACCCGATACACCCAGGACCAGGCCGCCTGCAAACAAGGAGGCGGGGATGACGTGCGACATGTCGTTGCGGCACGGTCTCGACGGCGAGGGCAGGGGCCAACGGCGGGAGGGATGAGATGGTGGAGACGCTAGAGAGGAGAAGCAGCAGCCAACCAACACCTCTCTGGCCCCCGCCCCCAGCCTGGCAGCCTTTCTTCCAGGCCGGGGACGGCGAGGGAAAAAAAAAGGCGGCCTCGAGGGGGCGACCGACAGCTCCACCCGAGCCCGCCAGCCGACTCCCGCGGCTTTTTTCCGTCTCGTTCACTGGCGGCCCGCAATCCCCATTCGCATCGACCATCGCCAACGTCGACCGCGGCGCGCGGCTGCGAACCCGACGGCGGCGACACTCAAGGCTCTGCGAAAGGCCCGAGGAGTGAATCGCGGGGCAGCGCGGTCCATGCCCAGTGACACCACGGGCGGAAGGTGCAGACCATCGTGCATGCGCCAGAGTCCGACGTCAAAGCCGCTGACCCGCAGACCCACAGTCGCCACGACGGCATCACGCGCCCATCCGCACAGAATAGTGATGGGGTTGGCGCTCTCGTATCTCTTTCATCGAGCCGCAGGCCGGACTAGTACTTTTCCAGGTCTCTGCCCTCCTCCGCGTGCTTGTTGAGCTCCTTTGCCCACACCTCGCTCTTGCCGTACTTTTTCACCAGTCGTGCCAGCTCCGCCCTTTGCTCCTGGTTTGCGCGGCAGCGGCGTCGTCGTCAATGTCGAGACGGATTCAAGGGATAGGAGAAGTACGGAGGATGAAAGTTAGCACGGATGGCCCCCGATCTTCGACCGAGTCGCCGCCTCCCACGCACCTTGAGGTTCTGCGGCAGCTCGCCGCTGTAGATGTCCTCAAACATGCTCGTCACGCTCGGCCGCTTCTTCTTTTCGGCGCGGTTCATGGCGTCGATGACGCGCTTGCGAGCCGTCTTTTTGATCTCTTCCTCCATCTCGTCGTTCCACCAGCCGCGCTCCGAGAGGAAGCTGCGCATGCGGTGCAGCGGGTTGTCCATCTTTTTCCAGTTTTCCACAGCGTCGCGCGACCGGTAGGCCGACGAGTCGTCCGACGTCGAGTGGTGGCCCACCCGGTACGTCATGGCCTCGATCAGCACCGGGCGCGACTCTGCCAGGCACTTTGCCTTGGCCTCCTTGACCGCCGCTCGCACCGCCAGCGCGTCGTTGCCGTCGACCCGAATACTGGAGAACGAATGACGATGAGCGCGACGACAATGTGAGAGGGAAGGGAAAGGTCAGCTCCGGCGCCAAGGAACGAAGCTGACCGGGATTTCGTCGTCGCAAACTCACGTCAACATGCCGTAGCCCGGTCCGCGGCTGGCGATGCCGTCGCCGCAGAACTGCTCCGTGCTCGGCGTCGAGATGGCGAAACCATTGTTGCGCACAAAGAAGCTGGCAGCGGGAGATTGGGGGATCACACGGCAACGCAGCGCTAGACGTCAGTGGACCAGCCACGGAGTCCGGCGGACAGGCGTCGATGGGCGGACACTCACATGACGGGCGCCTTTGTGGTGGCGGCAATGTTGAGGCCGGCGTGGAAGTCGCCCTCGGAGGCGGCGCCCTCTCCGCAGTAGCAAATGACGACGTTGTTCTCCCTGCCCTTTGTGCGCTTGAGCGCGAACCCGGCGCCGGCCGCCTGGGGCAACTGGGTGGCGAGCGGGCTCGAGACGTTGTGGAAGTGGAGCGAAGGGTTGCCAAAGTGGATGGGCGCCTGCCTGGCCTTGCCCATATCGCCCTCATTGCCAAAGACCTGTGGGCGGGAGTGCAAGCGGAGGAGGAGTTGGCGAGTGTCAGCAGGGGGGAGGCGAAACGGCAGCAGAGGAGGGGCTGTTCCTCTATCGACCCACCTGGTTCATCATGTCGTCGAGGTGCATGCCACGCCATACGAGGACGCCCATCTCACGGTACTGGGTAAAGACCTCGTCGCTGTGGTCGAGACCTGCTGCGCTTCCGATGACGGCGGCCTCTTCGCCGTGGCTGGTCATGTAGAAGCTGATGCGGCCCTGCCTCTGAGCGTTGTAGAGGACGACGTCCATGACGGGGAGGAGCATCATTGTCTCGTACATGCGGACGGCCTCTTGCTTTGTGATGTCGAGCATGGCGTCGGTGACGCCGGGGAGGAGCTTCCCGGTGCCGTCGAGGAGGCGGAAAGTGGGGATGCCGCCCTGGGCGTTGTTGGATCCGGAGAGGACGTTGGGGGTGACCTTGTCAAAGAAGCTGTCGTTGAGCGAGGTGAGGAAGACGGAGGAGGCCTTGCCGGGGAGGTGTCCCTGGGGCTGGTTGCCGTCTGTGCTGCTGGTGTCGACGTGGGCCTGGCTGGAGGTGGTGTGAAGCAACCTGCTGCTGGCCGACGTGGCCGCCATTGCGGGCGCAAGGGGCCGCAGCAGCGCTGCGCTGCGGAGGGGCGCCAGGAGCCTGGCAGTGGTCGACATTGTGGCGGGTCGGAGGGCTTTGCGGGTCAAGCCAGGAAAGAACAGACGGAGCGAGCGAGAGTGGGGGCGGCCGGGGAATCTGATGGAGCGGGAGTTGGTGGTGGTGGAGGTGGTCAACGGCGTGAGGAGGGCCGCTGTGCGCCTGTGACAGGTGGTCAGGGAGGATGAATGTACTTGTATGGCACAGACCGACGATGAGGCAACGAAGGCGGTGCGCGCTTGGGATGCAACGACAAGGCGAGCCCGTGGTGTGGGTCCCCAGACGGCGGGGTGGCAGGCCAGCAACCGAAGGCGAGGGGGGCACGACAAGCAAAGCGAGAGAGAGAGAAGGCAGCGAGGCCCACGCTCCTTACCCCGCAAAAGATGAAGATGCACGGCTTCGGCGCGACCGAGGCTCGACGTCGGGTTTTCCTTCGGCTTTCCCGGTTTCGCCAGGTGGGGTGGGCGCGCGGGCCAGGCGGCACCCCAACACCTCCCGCTGGCCGGCCCGCCCCGCAACCCTCAGGACGCGCCAAGCAGCTGCGCTCGACCCTTCGCGGCCTTAGCGGTCACCGCTACGCCGTGGGCACCGCCCTTCGCTGCTGCACCGCTAAAGCTGTCCCCCCAGTGGTACCGTACCTGTCCATGCTCAAGAACACGTCGGACCCGCTCAAACCAAGTACATGTACAGTAGTAGTACTACTCTAGTACGGCCACTGATGGTACAAGCAGGGTCCAGGCGGCCACCAACATTCACCATGCGACACCTGCCACCCGCAACTCAGGCCAGTCTGCCCGTCGCCCTTCGAACGATTACCACTCGTCGTCGACGACAATGGCCGGCGCCACCTCGACGCCGCGCTCCCGGTACGCATGGGCAATCGACTGCGGGTCCGGATCGGGCCGCACCGGTGGTCCCGCTTCGGGCGCGGCCTGACTGCCGCTGCCAGGTAAACCGGCTCCCGTCGTCGTCTTGGCCGCCTGCTCTTCGACACCGACCGGCCAGGTATCGTCGACGTGCCACGATGCCTTGAGCGTCTGCACCTGGCGTGGCGGTGGCAGCCGATGAAAGGAAGATGTCAGGTTGAGCTCCACGGTGCTCGGCAGACGTCAACCTCTGCCACTGCGACTCACCACGATGCGCAGGGGCAGTCCCCTCGCCGTCCCGGCGCCAGTGACCGACTTGCCGCTGTCGAGGGCAGACTTGAGGCCCCTGAGCTGCGGCCACGCCTCCTTAAGCCTGCGACCCGACCCGGCCGTCGCGGCAATGATGGCGTCGAGCCGCGCCACCGACTCGTCAAACCTGTTTCCCGTGCCGCAAGAAGGCGAGGCCGATCCATGGTTACGTGGCTTGGACGTTGCGGCCGTCGTCCGACGAGGGGCAGCTGCTGCGGAGGCCTGGTCCTCGACCGACATTGCCGGGTCAAAGGCTCGACCGCCCGTCCGCGGCGCCCTTGCTGCGGACCTTTGTGGCGTGTTGCTCGCGGCTGCGATCCTGCGTTGCGTCGGGCCCCTCCGACCGACAGCAAGACGGTGCACCTGAGCCCCCAAACGGATACGGCCGGGGGCCGCAGGGATATATATGTTGCGGTGGCGGCCGTGGATGCGTTGCCGGTCTCGTTCGGGCAGGGCCGAAAGCAAAGCGCGAAGCTGGAGGGGGAAAAACTTTCGCAGACCTGCCGCCCGGCAGACGGCGGCAAAGAGAGGTGGTGGTGGAGGAGGCGTTGCAACGAGCGTCCCAGCATGTCCGACTTCCGAGGGTTGCCAGCAAGAGTTGAGGAATTGATCGAGGCAGGCTTGGGCCCGCGGGAGCCCCACCGGGGTCGCGGTGCTGCTGCTGCTCTTGCGCCGCTTCGCAAGCGAGCACGAAGGGGTCGTCGATTCAGGGGCCATCTGCAGCGGCCGCAGCCCCTCACTTGCTTGACAGCACCATGGCGCTCGCTTTGTCTGCCTCCTGCGCTCCTCGTCCTCATCGTCGGCTTCCCTCTCCGCCTTCCTTCTGGCTTCTCGTGCGCCTTTCCTTTCTGGGCTTTAATTAGGGTCCCGCCTCAAAAGGGGCGTCATGGGCACCGACGCCAAACCCAGCAGGTGCCTATACCTAGCCTAGCTGCGCGCCGCTGCTGGGGCTCAGACGCGCAAGCATGACAGCTGCCTGGCACTACCTGGGCAACGGCCGCGCGCGCCTTCTGACGCCCTCTGCCACGCTTGCCTTCTACAACCAGTGCGCAGCTGGGGCTCGACAAGCTCGGGCTGCAGGCAGGACGACAGCCCAATCAGCAGGCGGTGGGTAGTTACGAGCTTGCAAGCACCAGATCGGCCTCAATCATGATGGGCGTCTGGAGAAGGACCACACCATATGCTGTCGTCTTCGAAACACCTTCTCTTCCTACCAGCACCATTCCGTGGCCACCCGACCCCTCGTCCCCATCGGCCTTTGACGAACCGCCTTCTTGACGACTATTCTCTCCCTGTTACGACTGTTACGATCCACGCCTCGCCATCCTCGACGACGACCGCCCTCCCCGCTCCCGTCCCGGACAGCATCACGACCCGATATCGACGACCCAAGTTACGCATACCCCGCTCGCAGCTGCCGCTCTGTCTCCGATACCCCCATACCTATCAATCGCACCAGCTTTCGCGACAAGAATCGCAGTCGGTTGCCTTCCTGATGCGCTCGCCGACCATGCTCGCTTCGCTGCCTCTCGGATCCTTGCTTCTGCTGCTCTGCCACCTTCTGGCTGACCGCGCTTTGGCCGTACCCGTCCTCGAGCACCGCGGAGCCGTCGCTGCTGCCGCCCAACCGACGCCCGTACCCCGCCGCCTGCCCACCGATCCGACCCCGGACGACATCTTCGCCTTCTACGCCCCGCGCCACCTCGACGACGACGACGAAGGCGATGCGTGGTACGAATCGATCGCCCTCGACAGGCACCGGCTCGACGACTCGTATGCAGCACGCTCGCCGACGACGCCCTCGAAGCGGCAGGCCGACCAGCCTTCGGTCCCGCTCGCCTCGATGGGCCCTCCGACGTTCCCCGCCGAGTTCCCCTCGTGCCCCAAATGCGAGGCCGACTATGGCAAGCTGAGCAGCTGCATGGGCGCCGCCAGCGTGTTTGCCAACTCGACCAGCATCTTCAACAACCCCATGGCGTACATCAACGTCATCCGCTGCGCCTGCACCGATACGTTCCAGTCCGTCTTTCCCCAATGCGTCGACTGCTTCCAGGTGAGTTGAGCGCGCCTTCCAGACAAGGTGGCCAAGGAGCGCATGCACGAGAGAGGAGGGAGAGAGAAGCTTGGCAGAGGTACCGAATCGCGCCTCGGGAGAGCGAGAGCGAGAGCGAGAGCCGGGAACAGCTGCTGACTTCCGACTGGTATCGCCGCCAACGCTGCGGTCTCGCGTCTGCGCCGTCCCCTCATCCAGCACACGAACCAGTGCTATTACCTCGGAACAGACCCGCAGGGTACGGGCGCCGGTTCGCTGACGAGCAACATCCGCAACATCTGCGGCTTTGGGTCGGCGCTGCTGGGCGGCGTGGCGACGGCCAACAACAACGTGGGCACCGCGATCCCCAGCAGTCCGGGACAGTACACCGACGTCAACACGGTTGGGCAAGGATACAACGATCAGTCGACCGGCGCCATCTTCCAGTCGAATGCCAGGAGCAGCCTCCCAGACGTCTACGGCGCATCGTGGTACGCTGCCGTGTTTGGCATCTCGGCGCTCGCCATGGTCATGGGCGGATGGAGGACGGTGGCAGGCCTCTGAGTCTCTGGTCCACCTCTGGGTGGCACTTGCCGCGCCTCGGATGGTGCTTCTTCCTGCCTTGGCCCACTGCCCCCGCTTCCCTGGTCACGGCGACGTTCTGCACACCTCTCGCTGTCTCTGTGCGACGGACGATATCAATCCCCCTGCTACTTGTTTCTCTGTCTGCCACTTCTACCAATGGCTCTTGTACCATTACTGCTTATTGCCATTCCAGAGCGTCGATCGCGAACGCTATTGGTCGCGTTTGACTCGTCGTTGTCGTTGCTGTTGTCGTTGTATGAGCTCCTACCTGCGAGGCCTGAATTCAACGGTGCAAAGGGTCCTCTTGCCTTGTCGCATCGATTGCCGTTGGGTATATCGTCGGGTACGGTCGGGTACGTTCGGGTACGGTAGGATCGGGTCGGGTCGCACAGTTTGGGCGGGCCGGGCAGGCGCAGGCACATGGACAGTACACATACACATGTAGGATGACGGTGCGGCAGGGTCGAGGGGAAAAACCCTTCTTTCCTCTTGGCAGATCGACTCGTCGAGGCCAACCGGCCCGCTGGGAACCAGGCTGGCAGGCAAACGAGGCACGGCCACGGCCCGCGGGTGCATCTATCTGCGGCGTCTAAACGTCACGCCTCGCGAGGCCCGCCTCTACGCACGCACGTCCTTCGTCTTTGCATCAGTCGCAGGTGTTGCTTTCGTCGTCGAACTGCCTGAAAGTCGTGGACGCCCTGACATGCACAGATCAGGAGTCAACGGAGAGGACAGATGAAGCGGCGTCCAAGTTCGACCTAGCCATTTCCTTTCGGGACGAGGGGGCCAGCAATAATCACCTACCTGCTGGGGAGCGCCGTCGGTGCAAAACAAAATGAAAGGGATCGAGGAGCGAGGAAGAAAAAAACTCGAATCGAAACCCAACCTCGACGGTCGGTCGTCGGTGGTGGCCGGCATGTGGGTTGGGTGGCTTTCCCTCGATGTCGATCTTCCGATCGCTCTGCTGCTGCTGCTGCTGCTGCTGCTTTCGATCAAGGGCGAGGATCACTCCGAGGTGCGCTGGCGCTCGGCCGCCGCGGTGCGACTACGTGATCATGGTGATCTGCTCGCAGCCGTCTGTCGAGGCGCAGCGACAACATCACCCTCACCACCACCCGCCTCCGCTGCATCCATCCCCCTTCCAGCGCCGACCTCCTCTTGCTTCCACTAGAATGCCTCGCAGCGAGAAGATGCAGCGCGACCAAAACTCGACCTCGAGCGACGGCAACGCGGCCGGTATGGAGGGCACCTCACCGCCGTCGCTCTCGAGCCCCACCCTCGACCTCCTCAGCGCAGTGCTGAGAAACAAGGCCCAATCATCAGCCAAGCTCCGTTCGCTTCGACCTTCTCCGTCGTCTTCTCGCTCCTCATCCCGACGTCCAGGCGCACCGACCACGACGGCATCGCGCTCCGGCTCGCACTCGTCTTCCGTCTCTGCCTCGTCGTCGTGGTCCGAGAGCCGGGGTGGAGGCGGCTGGAACCACTCTTCTGCATCGTCGTCGACGTCCTGCGCCACATCTTCCTCCGCTTCCACCTTTGTCGGAGACGAGGACGGGGACGAGGACAGGGGCAGGAAGGCACAGAGGGCGTCAAGAAAGGCGGGCACGTACGAGATCGTCGACGAGTCCGAGGCGTTGGCGGATCTGGAACGTCTGAATGGCATCAACTTTGACGATCCATGGCACATTGGCTCCGGCGCCCTTCCCATCTCGCTGCCGCCACCATCGTCGTCGACGCGCACCGCAGTCCAAGAAGAGGCAGGGGGACGCGGCGGCGGCGAAGGCAGGATCACGCTCGACGACTTCTACACCCTCTTTGGAGAGGATTGGCAGCTCTCGCAGTTCTGGTACACCCAGTCGTTCACCGAGCAGCTCGCTCACCTCATCCACCACCTCGTCTACCCATCACAGGCCGAGGGGAGCGAGGAGACGTCGACGCGAAAGACCATCGCCTTTCTGTGCTCCCCCACCGCCTACGTCGGGTACCACCACTTCATCTCCCCCTCTTCTTCCAAGATGACGACGACGACCAAGCTGCTCGAGTACGACACGCGATTCGAGCTCCTCGCGCCCGGCGACTTTGTCAAGTACGACCTGCACGACCCGCTCAACCTCCCCTCGGACCTCGAGGCCAACGTCGATCTCTGCATCGTCGACCCACCCTTTCTCAACCTCGACACCAACCTCAAGATCGCGCAGACGGTGCGCAGGATCAAACGACCGGGTCGAGACGGAAAGGTGCTCCTCATCACCGGAGACAGCATCGTCGAGCAGGTCAAGGACCTCTACCTCGACGACCTCGCCCAGCAGCAGCAGCAGCCGCCACACGGAGGCATGAAGCGCCTCGACATCGAGGTGCAGCACCGGGGGCTGGCGAACGAGTTCGGCGCCTGGTGCAACGTCTAGCCTGCCGCGTGCATCGTGCTTCTCGACTAGATGCCAAAGGATACCTTGCTCTGTCTGTAATCTTGGCAATGTACGATATGGTGATGATGGAGTCGCGGTCAATGTCTATTTCTTCGTTCTATAAGTCACCGTCCTTCGTCGTGGCCCCGTCGCCCCGATTGGCGCTGCTGGTCAGCCCTCGAGGTGTCGCTTCATGGTCTCGGCGTCGAGAAAGTACTTTGCATACTTTGGCTCGATGAAGAGGGCCTTGCTGTCGAGGAGCAGCGTCCCCTCGAGGTTCTCGACCTGGGCCGTCACCTGGGCCTTTCTTCCCTTTGCCTCGACGAGCTGCGTCTTTACGACGATGAACTGGTCGGCGCGCGTGGGCTTGCGGTAGTTGATTTCGAGCTTGGCCGTGACGCCAATGTGGCCGGGCAGGTTGTACATGGCGGTCCGGGCGAGTGCCTCGTCGCAGATGGTGGCGAGCATGCCGCCATGGATGATGCCGTCGTGGCCGCACAGGCTGCGTCCGAGGTGGACGAGGATGACCGAGTCGCCCTCGCTGCCGCCCGTCTCCTTTGCCCCGACGGCCGTCTTTGCAAAGACGACTGGCGGGATGGCAATCATGCCCGGGCCGCGGAGCGAGCCGGCGGTGAGCGAGTGCTGCGCCTTGACGGCGTCGTAGCGGAGGTAAGGGCGGGTCATGACGTAGTGGTGACGGTCGGCCTCTCCGCCTTCGAGGCCGGGTCCGGAGAGGGCGATGTTGGCTCCCGCAATCTTGCCGTCGGCGGGGATGACCTTTTGCTGGGTGGGGTCGAGGGTGCCCTCTTTGCAGGCGGGGAGGTCGGCCGCCGCTCCGCTGGCCACCGACTGCGACTTGAGCTGTTTGACGATGGGCAGGGCGTGCAGGGCCTTTTCGACGGCCTCTGCGTGGGCCTGTGCCTCTGGGCTGTCGTCTCTCAGGCGGGGTGGGCCGGGGCGCGGGTAGATGATGGAGAGCACGGCCGAGGGGTAGATGGATCCGAGGACGTAGGCGGCGATCCCGACGACGGATACGAGCACGGCGGTGCCCACAGCGGAGCGTGCGCCCGCCTTGTTAGGGGGGGTGGTGGAGAGGTAGCGCGGCGAGGCCGAAGAGGTGCGAGGGCTCCGAACGGTCCTGGGACGAAGCGGGGCGGTGCTGGCCGAGCGAGTGGCAGAGAGGGTCGACGTAGGCGAGGTGAGGCCGGATGGCGCCGAGTTTGATGGGGTCGCGATGCGGGCCAGGCGAGGACGACGAGCCGCCTGGCCGACGAGCCGCAACGGCTGTCGTAGGGCGAGGGTCGGGTTGACGGCCATGGCGGGGGAGCTACGACGGGAGCGAGCCGGTCGATTCGTTGCAAGCCAGAGCCTGGTTGCGCGTCGAGCAAGGGAACGAAGGGAGCGGAAGGGGGGCCTCGGAGGTCGAGCGGACGCCAAGGAGCGAGGATGGTGGGCGAGAGACATCCATGGATAGCCCACCCACACGCCATCGCTCCGACCGGAGGGGGGTCCGAGTTCGAGGAGGCCTAGCGGCGCCCCAGGCTGCGCCCCGGCTTGGACCCCGGAAGCAGCCAACCGGCTTATCCGGTGCAAACCCGCCTTCTTCCTCGCCTCGCCGCGACTTGACGGCCTACTTTCTCGGCACCGAGCGCGACATTCAAACGCCTCCACCCTCCACACCCAGTCAGGCCCAGCTCCGCCCCGCAACCGCCTGCGTGCCGGCCCAGCCGCACGGCTTGGCTCGAGCTTCCCAATCGACCCACCCTCGGTCGGCTCAGAGGCCGATGGCCACGCCCCCCCCCCCCATCGAGCAGCAGCAGCAGCAGCGCACCGCGACCGTTCGTCCTTTCTCACCGAGCATCCTACTTTCAACTGGCGCACCAGACAGACACCTTCCGATGCAGCATCCCGTCGCCATGCCGCCAACAGCCACACCGCCGGCTTCACGGCCGGCGTCCTCGTGGCTCGCCAGAATCCGCCTCCTGCTGCCCCTCTTTGTGCTCCTCGTCCAGCTCGCCCACCGCGCATCGGCAGCCCAGCTGCCCTTGTCGCTCAAACAGGCGCATCCACAATCGCAGCCCGGCCTCGCTCACCGCATACACGCCAACGACGTCCAGGACGACGACCCCGCACTCGTACCCGCCATCCGCCTCTCCCACCATGGCCTCTACATCAACCGCCCCCACACCGCCGCGGGCCATCCCGCTCCTTCCTTTGCCGCTCCGCCCCGGCTTCCCTTGACAATCCACTTTGACACCGCCGTCTACCGCCCAGAGACGGCCGTCGTACACTTCGGCCCCCTCCGCCGCCGCTCGCGCGATCAAGTCATGCTCGAGTGCGGAAAACAGTCTGGCGGCATCGAGAGCTGCCAGGACGACGATCTCGGCGAGGCAAAGGCCAACCGAAGCCACGCAGACTCGCTCGAATGCCGCTTCGACCGGCCAGGCGCCGTCAAGTCAGGCGGACGCATCGTCCTCGACAGCCGTGCCTGCACCGGCTGGGACGACTACTGGGCCGGCCCGCACATCTATCACCATCGACGCAGTGATGACGATGACCGGGGCTCGGAAGCGCTCACCAGCTTCGTCGTCAGCCTATCCGTCGACGCGCGCGAGGCGGGTAAAGGGTCGCAAAACACCCATCAGCGGTGGTGGGTAGGCCAGCTGGAGCTCGACCACTCCCGCGCCTCTTGGCCCCTCGCGGGAAATGCTCGCTCCCGCCGTCCAGGCACAGACGACCGGGTATGGCACCAGGATAACGCCAACCGCATCAGCGGGTCCATGGAGAACCCGATCATCCCAAAGGCTAGCAAGGACGAGCCGGCCGATCCGCAGCAAAACGTCTACGTCGAACAGTCATCCTGGAACTTGGGCGTGCAGATCCGGATCCCGCTTGCCATCACCACGCCGCCCCCCTCGGCTCAGAATCGCACTGCATCGGCTTTGACTGCCATCGACGACTCCGCACCGTCTACCGAGATGCCGTTGCTTCTGCCGCCCGAAGAGGTGTTCGCACCCGTCGCTGGACAGGTCGTCTGGTCGCGCCCGTACCTGCGCCACAAACCGCCGTTGGTTGGCGATGGGGCGGGCTGGAACGACGAAGCGGATCACTGCCTCATGATCCGCGACGAGTGGTCGGTGGTATACCAGATCTTCGGCCTCGATCCGGCAACACTGTCGTTCCGCGAGGGCGATGAGGTCGCGCGTGGCGATGTGCTCGGACATGCGCTCAGGGAAGGCCTCTCGTCGATTCCTCCATGCACCGATCCCCCGGCCGACCACTCCGAGACCAAGGACGACCGCTCCGTTCGCTTCTACCCACACCGCTACCGCAAGCTCGAAATCCGCGTCGCGCGGCCTCATCGCGACTGGACCGAATGGAAGGACCCCGACGAGCTCGGATGGCAGTACTTCCAGCCTCTCCAGGTGTTCCGCGAGGGTCGGACGCGCGAGGGCAAGCGTTACCAATCCACCGTCCCACCTTACGGCTCGCCGACCACGCTCTATTTTGGCCGCCCCTCGACCGACCCGCTTAATGTGCCGCCAGTGGCATTTGCGTCGTCCGACGACTTTTTCGTGCCGACGCTATCGGGCCAGGTCGAAATGTACGCCGGCTTCGAGGCATTCCAGTCGACGCCGGGCGATCCGGCCGACGGCATGGAGCCCCTGGCTTTGTTTGCGATGGATCTGGGCATCAGGAAGAGGAAGGACGGGGAGCGCCCGCCGAATCGCGAGGACCCGTGCGATCTGGGAGGCGGCGGCGGCGACGGCGGCGACGACACATCGGACAAGTGGCGAAATCTCTGGGAGCATGCCAAGGTGAGTGTGCAGCAAGCAGCCTGGCGCATTGACGCGTTGCATCTTCCAGGCACAGCTGATTGGCAGCTCCCCGCTCCGGCTTCCCGCTCTTCCTGGCCTTCGCTCCCCTGTCACTTGCAGTTGCCCAACGTGTGGACGGGCGCCTTCATACCCACGTCGACGTCGACTCCAGCGAGTGTGCGATGGCACTCGAAGCTCTTCTCGCACTACCAACCGTCCTTTTCCTACGGCACGTGGTTCCCGGCCAAGATGAGCAGCCAGTTTGACGAAAAGTCGCGGCATCTGTACTATGTCGTCGGCAGGCAGGTCCGGGGCGAGCCCAAGATCAAGGGTAGCTTCGACGTGCAGCGCGACCTGATGGACGAGGGTCCGGGCCGGTACAGGATCGTGGTGCGCGGCAGAGACTACTGGGGCAACGCGGGCTGCGTTGCTTCCGATGTCAATCTGGCCTGACGCGTTCACCGACTGGCCCGCCTCGTCGTCAGAGGTGTCTAATTGTGACCATCTCGCCATGGAATTGCATGGACGTTTGGCTACGCATGGCATGGCATTACATGGCATGGCATTGCATGGCATGGCATCGCTGGAGTGGAAGCGAGGTGCGAGTTCGAGAATCAGACGAGGAGGACGAGGAGCTCGTCGAGGAACCAGGTGAGGCCGACGAGGAGTGCGAAGGTGGTGAAGAGCAGGACGAGCCCCGTCGCGCCAAAGGAGCGGGAGGGCTTCGTCTTTACCGAGGCGGCATTGCTCTGTCCCGTGGCTGGTGCAGAGGGCATGACGGAGGCCGTCATGCTCGGTGAGGACGGCATGGTCGTCGTCATGGCTGCAGTCGAGGCCATGGCGGAAGAGGTGGGCATGGTGGATCCGCCGGCCCCGCCGCCGCTGCTGCTGCCCGTCGATGAAGTGGCGGCGGCCGTACTGGTAGTGCTAGAGCCGGAGCCGGTCGGAGAGGGCGGGTTGCAAGTGATGGGACCGATGGGACGGGGTGGACCGCCGGTCTGGGAAGCGATGATGGAAGAGAGGGAGCACAGCTGGGCAGACCCCACCCCTGCGCCTCCTCCTCCGCTCGCAGCGGTTGCGGTGACGTCTGGGTCCTCAGATGTACCTGGGACGATGTAGGGTTGGGTGAAGAGCGTTTGTGCCTCGACCTAATTGATGCCATGCCAAGGATGGGGCCATCGGTCGGTCAGTCAAATTGCCACGGACCGACGATGGCGGGGAACTAGCTGGACGAGACAGGGACCCCGAACTCACGCATTGCGTCGAAGCGAGGAGCAGAAGAGCCGACAGGACGAGGACGAGGAGGGACGACTTCATTGCGACATGTGCCTGGCGATGTTGCGCAGGAGGAAGGTGGTGATGGTGGATGGTCAGGAGCCAGATTTTAGCCCCACCGTCCCTTGACCTTATATCGCTTCGCTCTCCGCGGCGCATAGAAGCACGAGAGAGGCAGTCACGCGACCCGCCTCCACCTTGGCCGGACGCGGTGCACGGCGCCGGCGGTCCGCGCTTCAGGGCAAGTAGGTAGGTACTTACCTCGGAGAGGTAGAGAGGCAAGCTGAGAGGTCAGAGGAGCCTGCGGGCCCGCCGTTCTCGGTCGGATCATGTCGCTCCGGATCAGGGCTTCACTGGGCCTTGTTGCTCGTACTGTAACAAAATCGGCTTCTCGCTTAAACCGGCAGTGCTTTCCGTTCGCAGGGGCGCCTTCACCATCTCTCGCATCGCCTGATACGCTCGCCGCCACGCTCGACGCAGACGGCTGGCTGGCTCGCTGATCCCCGACGAGGCCGGGCAGCTGTGCGCCAACACCATGTCACGCTCGATGTCTGGCTCGGGCTCCGAGACCCAAATACAAAGCTATGTGCCTGGTGCTGCTGATTGCAAGCGTCCGCTGTCACCAACTGAATAACCTTTCCGTCCGAGCACAGCTCGCCGAGGCGACCGGCGGCGCTGAAACCTCACGTCACGTCGCCGCCACTTCGCCCGATACGGTCATCTCGAGCCGCTTTGCGACTGCCTCTTAAAATATCCATGGTTCGAGCTGCTGCCGATCAAAGACAAAGGACGGCGACGGGAGCGGGCGGGCAGTGGGCTTCGACGTGACAGCCCGGCGTCTAGAGCTTGGACAGACGTCCATCGGCGTGCGGGCCAGCGTACGGCTTTTCCAGGAACGCAGCCATTTGCTGAAGACGACGAAGGTGGTGAGCAAGGAGCCAGAGCCCTGTCAGCGGCTCTCGCGATTACGGAAAAGGGCATACGTGCGACGGGCCAGAATGTACGTACCTCGAAGCGATCGCTGCCGAAGAACTGCATCCTCTGCCCATCGCGGGCACGGGTGACGTTGAACCACCTGTCCGTCGGGGCGCGACGGCGGCCAGCTTGTTAGCGCCTATTGCCGCTTCCCGTTCCTGAACGCCGCGCCACAGACGACTCACGGCATGCCAAAGACGCCTTCCTCCTCGACGATCCTCTTGGCGAGCGTCTTGCCCCTCTCCTTTGCTTCCTTTGACGTCGCTTGCTCGACGCTCTCCCTCCTGTCGTGGTCGCTCTTCCACAGTCCCTTGGCGGCATCGTCGGTATCGAGGATGTGCAACACCTCTTCGACCGTCTTGCAGGGCAGATTGCGCTGCCACACGGCCCGGAAGTAAATCTCCGTCAGCGGTGTCAGGAGCGAGGGCGAGCTCTGCGCAACCAGGTCGAGATGCTGCTGCAGCGTCTGCGTGTTGACCGGGAACGACGTCGGCGTTGAGAGAGGGACTGAGTGCCCGGCAGGGCGAAGCCACCCGCGCCGGTGAGGGTGGGGGGGGGG